ACACACACACACACACACACACACACACACACACACACACACACACATACCCACACACATACGTAGTCCAACTCTCCGTCTCTATCATCTAGGGAGGAGAGAGAGAGAGAGAGCGCAGCAGAAGAGAACGCGTGGGCAGATCGCGTGTACACCTATTACGCAGTAAACATCTATCACAGTTGGCTTCTTGCATCTCGAAGGCAGAAGTCGCATTCTGGTGTGCTTGTACGTACGACGTGACTCTGAAATTGAACGCAATTACTGCGCTAACGTCGATTCGAATTTGTTGATCATACGCCAGCTGCATGATTGTGTTCGATGATGTGTGTGCGGGTGGCTCGGAATAGTAACGAATAACGAGACGTTGAAAAGCGAGCCTGGTGGGTTGCTGCTGCCGTTTGATGCGGTTTGATTATGTTTCTTTTCTTCGTCGTCGTCTTTGTCGTCGTCGTCGTCGTCCTTTTCCTCTTCTTCTTTTTCTTCTTCTTTTTCTTCTTTGTCGTCTTCTTCTTCTTCTTCTTCTTCTTCTTCTTCTTCTGCTTCTTATTCTTCTTCTTCTTCTTCTTCTTCTTCTTCTTCTTCTTTTTCGCCACCTTCGTCTTCGTCATCATCATCATCTCCTCCTCTCCCTCGCGGGAAGGGCGTGGGTAGGATGCGGGTGGAGGACGTGGGAAGGCGCTTATATGAGGAGGATGCGGTGGAGGATGCGAAGGAGAAAGTTGGGTGGAGGGGGGTGCCCATGGGCATGAATCGCGCGTGTGACTTGATGGGGCACGCAGCTGTCCGTAATGTAATAACCTAATAACAGCAAACGCAACACGCACACACAAGCAGCAGCAGCAGCAGCAGCAGCAGCAGCAGCAGCAGCAGCAGCATTAGCAGAAGAAGCAGTAGCAGCAGCAGCAGCAGCAGCAGCAGTAGCAGCAGCAGCAGCAATAGCAGTAGTAGCAGCAGTATACTGCTTCTGCTGCTACTGCTATTGCTGCTGCTACTACTACTGCTGCTACGGCTGCTGCTGCTGCCGCGACTATACTGCTGCTGCTGCTGCTGCTGCTGCTGCTGCTGCTGCTGATGATGATGATGATGATGATGATGA